GAAACCCTCGAATGGCCCCAAAATAACTTTGCCTCGGAATCAAGTTTCTTTCTGTCAAACTAGTTATACGACAAATAGGTCGGAACTTACTTTGAACCCAATTAAAACCCAGGAAGAGATTTCTAAAGAACGAACTGTTACACGGATTAATTCACAAAAACCCTATGATATACGCTTGCAAAACTATTTGGCAGTAAAGGAAAAGATTTTTGACGATGAAGTGTCTAGCTTAACGATTAAAGCAAAAAGGTCGACGACAAGATTACGGAATTTTTGGAAAACAGTACGTCGGTCAAGGAGACTGATAGTATCCTCAGTTATTAACGAAGGTTTAGGTGGAGGATTATATGCTCAGGTCGAGTTCGAAAATATTAAAGAGCAAGGATGGATTTCTGGAAAGCGTTTAATATCCGGGACTTATTTCTTTGATCGAGCTAACGGACAGTAAAGACGGCATAAAGACCTAAAATATCCGTTAACCATGGAACAGCAAAAACGGCTGACTGAAGTAAGTCAACTGTCTCCCGATTTCGCGACACAAGGGCTGGGAAAAACTTCCCTAATACAGCATGACATCGAGGTGGGAAACAAAGATTTTACCCTGTTTCACCAGCGGTCGAATGTTTGATGTTCCAAGAAGTGGAACGCATGTCAGCTTTGGGAGTAATAGAGCCTTCAACCAGTCCTTGGAGTTCGCCTATGCGCTTAGTAGTTAGGCCCGGCAAGGTAAGGTTGTGTCTCGATGCTAGGCAAATAAATAAATATACCAAAAAAGACGCATACCCTCTTCCCAACATTGATGGGATATTTGCCAGATTACCCAAAGCGAACCTGATCACCAAAATTGACCTAAAGGGCGCTGTTCGGAGCAGCCAGCCAGCGCCTAGTCTAGTGCGCATAGGTGTATGGCTGAACCTGTAGTGCTCTTGCGCTCTCTTCTTTATATTTGCCTTATCTCGCTAAGCTGTCGCGCTACCTATTCAGCGACAACATTTGTAAAACCGGAATTAAAAATATGAAGCAAGGCTTTTGGCTGCAGCAGTGCAGATTCAACTGGCAGAATAAACACGACACGTACATAAACTGATAAAATTAAAAAGCGTTATTGTTACATAACAAACAAGCTGTTTTCGAGATATCTTCCTCCTTTACCTCGATTTGGTGGTATCCACTCTAATCTAAGGTTGAGAAATATTTGGCTCTCCCCAAGTTATCCAATACATCGTTTATTATTGGTAGGGGGTATCGGTCTTTAGTTACTTTCTCTTTAATTTCCTATAGTCTACCACCATTCTCCATTTTCTTTCTTCTGAGGCATCCTTCTTTTTGGGCACCAGCCAAACCGGCGCACTCCATGGTGAGTGGCTATGTCTAATAATCTTCTGATCTAATAGCTTCTCTAGCTGTTTTCTAACTTCTTGTCTCTCCTTGAATGCATATCTATACGGTCTCGCATACACTGGTATGTCATCATTCGTTCTGATTTGATGTTTGACTGCATTAGTGAAAGACAAATTATCACCTTCCTTATGGAATACCTTCGGATACTTATTGCATATTCTCTGAAGTTCTTTAAGCTCCTCGTTATTTAAATGTTCTGCCCTGATCTTGTGGAACGGTATGTTTTTATCTTTGTTACCTGCCTCTTCTATATTATTGAGTTCGAAATGTTTCTCGGTTTTGAATTCTACAACATTTAGTGGTTCTTCCAAAAATAACTCCTGGTCTATCTCTGCATAGTTTGTTACTTCTACCACGCTCTGTCCAGCCACTGCCCTGTAAATTCCTTCTGAAATGATCATATCTTCCTTTACTGTTGTTTTACTTAACAAGAAATCCCCATCGGATACTTGTACCGGGATAGAGATTACTCCATTTGATTCTGCTTCTATTGTGTGGACTTCGCTTAGTCTATATTTAGCGAACTGAATCTGCAACTTCTCCTTCACCGTGAGGGACCAACCATTTTCTATGTCGATCACGGCCTTTAACTGTTGTAACAGATTTATCCCGATTAACCCTTCAAAAACTGGTGGAATCTGAAAAGTAGCATTCTAATCTTCCCTACTCCTCCCATTTCCTTGATCGTTGGTAAGTATGCTTCCTTCCTTAAATTTTATGAGATTGTGTAATTGTCTTATTCGTGGAAAGTGGATCCTGTGTCAATTAGAATTTTAATGTTTTTTCGAAGTGATTTTGATCAATACATAAGGTAAGGTTGAGTGACCCCTCCTGGTCCCTAAATATCCTGTATCTCGGTTATTTTGACCATTATTCCACTTATTGCTCCAATTATTATTCTTGTTCTGATAGTTACGATATGGTCTTGCAAAATTGGAAGTTTCTCCCTGATTAAAATTGTCTGGTCTGAATGGGTTACCAATCATTGGATACGGAAATCCAAATCCTGGCCATCCATTCATGTTGTGCATCGGAAACGGCATTGGATACTGCGGTTGGGTATTTCCTGCCCACCGATACTGCGACCAGGTTTCGGAATTTCCTTAACCTCTTTGCCATGGGACTCAGTCAGTTCTTGACCTTTTGCTTCAATTTCTGTTACCACCAAGGTACCCAGGTTCTTTTCTCTGCAGGCTATTTCATAGGCCTTAGCTATATTGGTTACAACCATGTTCCTGATAGTTACCCCTATCGGTCCTTTTAAGGCTGACACAAAGGCGGTTAAGGCCATCTCCTCATACCACTTGGTCTTTTCGCTTCTCAACAACATGCCCTGCTCGCTGAACTTGTCCAGACTCACTAGGGCTTTCTTCAGGGTTATTACTTTGGTGTATAAGGCCTCCAATTCTAACTTCTTTTCTTTAATGAGGGTGGGTCAATTCCATAATCAAATCCTGCTCAGATCTTTTGTCTTTAAAATGGGTAATCAATACTTTCTTTATCTGATCCCAATTTAACTCCGACTCATCTAAGTTTAGGACTTTATCCGCTGCTCCGATAATCTTGCTCCTTACCGCTCTAAGTGCGATTACTCCTATGTTTGATCTCTCTTCTCCCTTGATTAGGCCTAGCACCTGCTCTACCGCTCCTATAAATCCATCTAATTTAGCCGAGTCTCCTTCGTATTTCGGAATAATTTCTACCAGGTCTATTACCTTGATAGCTTCTAATTGTAAGAATGTTTTCTCGGCCGGGGTACAGATCTCAGTCGGATCCAAGAGTCCTTTACAAGAAATTTGTAAATCCCCGAAACACCGGACTAGAGAGTTCCGTTCTACAGGTGAACGGATGATTTGAATGGGGAGTCTGCACCGAAGGTTCTTATCCGTGTCGACGGAATGTGGACTCGTGGAATCCTTGTCTTGTGTTTCGCGTCAAGGGCGAAAAATCCACCGGGCTGGACCTTCGGGCGAGGCCGAGCCGGGAGAATACTTTGCGGGTGTTGAAGTCCTGGATCTCGCCTCAAGGGCGGAAAATCCACCGGGCTGGACCTTCGGGCGAGGCCGAGCCGGGAAGATACTTTGGGAGGGGCCGGATAGTAAAGGGATAGAGGGATTCGACTTGACTGACCGGCCGGGACGGGTGTCCACGTGCCAGTCTCCAAACTACTAAGTAGACCAGACACTAGGTTAATAGATCCGGTGGGACGGGTGTCCACGCTCAAATCCCCAACTACGCAGGGGAGTGGGGAACTACCGGAGAACGGATCCGGCGGGACGGGTGTCCACGCGCAAATCTAAAACTACGCAAGGGAGTGGGGAAACTACCCGAGAACGGATCCGGCGGGTCGGGTATCCACGCGCAAATCCCGAACTACGTAAGGGAATGGGGGAAACTACCGGAGAACGGATCCGGCGGGACGGGCGCCCACGCGCAAATCCCAAACTACGCAAGGGGAGGTTGGGGAACTACTGGATCGAATGGGAAGGAGTCCGCATTCAGGTCCGATGTTACTACTAGGAGCAAAAACAACGGCTACTGCGGCGAACGGGAAATATGTCCGCGTTCGGGCCCAAAGTAGTTGTGAGAAGAAGGTTAGGTTACTTTGCTAACTACACAATGAAATACACACGATCGGGAGATGTGATTAAACAATCGTAACACTGTATTGAGATTGTCCTTACCCGAGTCCGCTACACCGTTCTGAGCGTATGAGAACCTATTTTGTACCAACCTCTTTAATTTCGCCCGCGATTGACAGCGTGGCGCTTGGCCAAAATAAAACGGCGGAACACTCGCGATGGGAGAACTTTGAAAGGTCGCGTTGGACGTAACGTTTGACCTGCCTTACGAATAAACTTGCGGAGTACACGTGGAGCCTCGAAGTTTCTCTGCGATCCTGAGAAAAGACCTGCTGTCCGGTTATTGTGTGATCCATTCGGGATTTCTAGTATTTTCCCACTACTGATATCTTAGCTCCTTGCTTTTCTAGTATTAAATGTGTCTTGGCTAAATATCGGATGGCGTTGCCACCCCGGGATTTGAACTTAGATATAACTATGTCTTAATATTTATTAACTTCAGGATATTTCTCTTAAAACTAATATAATGATAGAAGAAAACCATTGTGGCGTACACGCCTACTAGGCGGGTCCGTCACACCCCCCTTTCTTCCCGCGGCGCAATGTAGAGGCGCCCGTCGTTTTTAATTGTGACAGTAAACCTGTAAGCGCCTTCTCCGGCGGCTATTCGTACCCGACACCCACGACTGATCCGGGTTGCCACCTTCCGCTCTATCTGCACTATGATGTGCTGAGGCAGATAGCGTTGGTTGTTACCTCCGATCCAACCTTCGGGTAATGGGCGAAGGTCGTCCTCCTTTCCTGTCGATTGGTCCACCTCCATCGCAGCCACGAAAGATGCGTTCGTTTCTGTCTCCATCTGCGTCCGCATGAGAACCGCGTCGACAACAGGCCCGGGGAGCCAGCTCCTGACAGATCTGCGAGGAGTCTTGGACGCTGGCGTTATCCTCGTCGTCGTCGAGACGGTACGGGGCCGACTGGGGTGACGTCGGCTGACTCCACTGGTCTTCGTGGGGCTCAGCGTTTTGCTGAGTCGTTGGGATCCTGGGACGCATCGTCGTCCGTTCTCATCGAACTACCAACGCCTTCCCCTTCGGAGGTGAGGACCTCCTCCTCCTCTTCTTCTCCGTGACTATCCCCGCCGTTTGCCCGTGGGTAGAAGGCCTCGGTGTCTTGGGAGTCATCGGACAGCATGATTAAGTCGTCCATCTGAAACAGTAATCTAGACTTATTGGTATAACCCTACCTTTCGAACTCCCTACCTAACGGTGTAGCTAACAAAGGACTCGTTTAAGTTACTTCGCAGTTCCAGACCGCTTACCGTGCCGGGTTACTTGGCCCGGTGATGTCGTCGTCGCTCGCGTCGAGGGCGTCCTCTGCGTAGTAGGGTTTAAGCTGAGATATGTTGGCGATCCGCCGCCGACGGTCTCCTGGGCGCTGCAAACGTACTAACTTCGGAGATGTGAACTTCGCGACGGGATAGGGACCGTCATACTTAGGAGCGAGTTTGGCGGCGAATTCCTCGGCCACTTTTGATAAGGGATGTTGTCGCAGCCATACTTGGCTCCCGAGCGTTGGTCTCCATTCGCGCCTCCGAAGGTTATAGTGCCTCGCCTGCTCCAGAGATGCTCGTTGCAGGTTCGATCGCACGATTTCGAAGATCCCTTGGAGGTGTGACGCATTGTCTTCAGGACCTGTATGCGCGACCGCTGATCCAGGGGTGAGTTCGTCATACAGCATCGCAGGCAAGCGTAGCTCCCGTCCCTGAGTGAGAAATGCGGGAGTATACCCAGTCGAGTCCGATACGCTACTATTGATAGCGCGGGAAATCTCCGGCAACATATTATCCCACGTACTCTGGTCTCCTTCCGACAGCTGAGATACCAGCGTCTTCACCGTGCGATTGGTCCTCTCAGTGGGATTCTCCTGCGGACAATACGGAGCCGTGTACTGGACTTCCACGCCGAGCTTAGCAAAGTAGTCTTTTAGGGCCCGACTTGTGAATTGGGTTCCGTTGTCACACACGAACTTCCGTGGAGTGCCCACTCGCCCGAGTATGCGTTCCCGAAACGCTTTCTGGACTGCCGCAGCGGTGGCTTTCCGGAGTGGGATCAACTCTACCCATTTGGAGAACACGTCATGGAAAACGAGAAGCAGTTCCCTTGTTTCGATCGGGGCAGCGGACCTACAAAGTCAGCACAGAGAATGTCGAAGGGTTCGCTTACGACACGGGTAAGCATTTTCCCTGCTGCTTTGGTCTGAACGGTCTTAAATTTTTGCGCGGTACATGCCGGGCCAGAAATATCTTTGCGATAGGCGGGTGATCGTCTTTCGGACACCCAAGTGTCCTGCGGTCGGGGAATCATGACACTCGTATATGACGCGGGCTCTGCAGGGAGTGGGTGCGCAGAGTTTCCACGGCTGACCGTTCTTCAACATGTAGTCAGAGAACTTCTCAGGCTGGTCGCGTACCTTGTCTTTCATCTTCCTGATCCATTCGCAGTGGTCATTGAGCTCGATAGCGCCTTGAAGTACCTCACAGGGCTGTCGGGAGAGCGTATCAGCCACGACGTTCAACTTCCCTCGTCGGTAACGCACGTCGAATTGGAACTGTTGTAATTCCAGAGCCCAGCGCGCTATTCGGCCGGAAGGACTCTCGATGGAATTTAACCATTTGAGAGCCAAGTGATCGGTAACGACTTCAAATCGGTAGCCCTCCAGGTAACATCGCATCGTCCTGATGGCCCAGATGATGGCCAGACACTCCTTTTCTGTCGTCGTGTAATTGTGCTCCGCAGGAGTTATTCGACCGCTAGCGTATGCGATGACCTTCTCTTGGCCCTCGACGTCCTGAGATAACACCGCTCCCAGCCTACGTCACTCGCATCAGTCTGTAAGACAAACTTCCGGTCGAAATCCGGACAACCCAACACGGGGGCGGTGGTCAGGCTTCTTCTAATCTCTTCCAAGGCGGTTTGCTGTTCCGGTCCCTAAGTCCACTTCCGGCCTTTCTTCAGCAATGCGGTCACTGGTTGCACGATGGTCACGAAGCCCGGGACGAATCTCCGGTACCAGGATGCCATCCCGATCCATTGGCGTAGTTCCTTCAGGTTGGTGGGGATCTTCACCCCATTGATCACAGACACCTTCTCAAGATCAGTCTGAATCCCTTCGCCGCTGATCACATGACCGAGGTAAGCCAGTTTCTGCTTGAAGAATGTACACTTCCTTGGATTTATCCTCAAATCTCCAGGATGCGATTGATCCTCTGGACAGGGTAGGCGTCGGGCACTGAGTGTGTGTTCAACTGTCGATAGTCAACACACATGCGCCAATCGCCCCCCTTTTTCTTCACCATTACGATCGGTGCGCTGTGTGCTCCTGCGCGGAGCAGTTCATCTACTTGGGTATCAATGACATGTTGCATCGCAGGGTTCCTGGGATAATATTTTTGCTTTAAGGGCTTATCGTCGCGCATGACGATGCGACGCTCAGCGATCTGAGACACTCCCTGGAGACTCTCGAACAAAGCTAACTCTCGTTCGAGGAAGCCTAGAATAGAAACGCCCACGAACTCAAACCGATTTAAAATCTTGGAAGACGCCTATGACGTTGAGGCGGCCGAATCCACTGAAGTCGAGAAAAGGAAGCCAAAACCTCCGCCTATTTATATTCGAGAAAAAAGTTCCAATGTTCTTGTCAACAAAATTATCGAGCTTATTGGAAAGGATAACTTCCACATAATACCTCTAGTAAAGGGCAACATCCAGGAAACAAAGGTTCAAATGAAGTCTGAAGATAATTACAGAGTATTATCGAAATATCTTTCCGAGAATAAAAAGTACTTTTACACGTATCAGCTAAAAAGTAGCAAGGGCCTGCAAGTCGTACTTAAGGGCATAGAGTCCGACGTAACGCCTGCAGAGATAACAAAGGCGCTTCAAGAGAAGGGATTTAACGCTAAGACAGTCTTCAACATCCTTAACAGGGATAGAAAGCCGCAGCCACTCTTTGAGGTTGAGCTCGAACCAGAAAATAAGCCCCTAAAGAAATACGAAGTGCACCCCATTTACAATCTTCAGTTCCTGCTGCACCGCAGAATTACAGTTGAGGAACCGCACAAACGCAATGGCCCGGTACAATGTGCGAACTGCCAAGAATATGGCCATACAAGGTCATACTGTAAACTGCGCCCGGTGTGTGTAGTTTGTGGAGATCTTCATGACTCCGCACACTGCCCAACGAGCAAAGATGACTGCAACTCGAAAAAGTGCGGCAACTGCGGTGGCAATCACACTGCTAACTACAGAGGCTGCCCTGTTTACAAGGAGCTGAAAAGTCGCATCCACCAGAGAGGAACTGCCGCCCGCACCCAAAATAAACAGATGACAGCTTCCAGAACAAACCCTGAAGTCTTCTTCTCGACTGCAGCCAGATCCTCACTAGGACCCTTAAACTCTGATAAAAATGTGACTTACGCAAGCGCTTTCGCCTGTCCTGTTTATTCTTCTCCGACATCCAGGCGCATTGGAGCAATCGTTTAAATTGACATCTCAGAAAACCAATTGTGTTAAGTACAAGAAATACATTAGCTCACACATTGAGCTAAGTCCTCATCTCAACGATGAAGCCAACGTAGACAGATTTGTTAATACACTGGAGTCTGTACTCGTCTCTGCAGCTCGAGTTTCAACACCCCAAACTACAAGTACACAAAGCAACCAAAAGAAGACAAATCTACAAATAGAACAGCTCGTCCTCGAAAAGCGACGCTTACGTCGAGAGTGGCAACTCCACAGATCACCATCTGCTAGGCAAAGCTTCAAATATGCCTCACGTCAACTCACAAAAGCTTTACAGCAAGAAGAAGCACATGTCCACCGACGCTACATAGAGCAATTGTCAACATCTAGCACAAAACACTCACTATTGAGAGCTCACCCTACTCTAAGCTCACCGAAAGTAACCGTGATGCCTATTAGAAACCCCACAGGCGGCTGGGCGCGCAGCGATGCAGACAGAGCCAGCACGTTTGCCAACCACCTTAAAAATGTCTTCCAACCAAATCCTGCCACTAGTGCGTTCACCTTGCCGACTTTACCACATGAGCCTCAGCTTCAACATGAACCAATTGAGTTTCGCCCAAACGAAATCGTTAACATCATCAAAAATCAGCTGAATCCGAAAAAATCCCCGGGCTGCGACCTCATAACTCCCAAAATGATCATTGAGCTCCCATATTGCGCCGTTTGCACTATCACCCAGCTTTTTAATGCCATCGCAAAACTTGGCCACTTTCCAGTGAGATGGAAAAAGTCGATTATAATAATGATAGCAAAGCCAGGAAAAGACCACACAATTCCCACGTCGTATAGACCTATAAGCCTACTCTCATGCTTATCTAAACTCTTTGAAAAATGCGTATTGATTCGGATAAACACATACCTAAGAATCCAGGAAGGAATTCCGTCACATCAATTTGGGTTTCGTGAAAAGCACGGAACAATTGAGCAGGTCAACCGGATAACATCAGAAATTCGGAACGCGTTCGAAAAACGAGAGTACTGTACTGCCATATTTTTAGACGTCTCTCAAGCATTTGATAGAGTTTGGCTAGAAGGTCTAATGTTCAAGATCAAGACAATGCTCCCCTACAACACCCATAAGCTTCTAGAGTCTTACCTCTACGACAGAAAATTTGCTGTTCGATGCAACACTGCTATAACTGACGATTTCACTATTGGAGCTGGAGTTCCTCAAGGAAGCGTGCTTGGGCCAACATTATATGTCCTCTACACAGCAGACATCCCAACAAGCACACGACTAACAACATCTACGTTTGCTGATGATACAGCCATTCTCAGCCGCTCAAAATGCCCGATGCAAGCAACTGCGCAGCTCACTCTTCATCTGGTCGATGTAGAAAAGTGGCTATCAGATTGGCGAATTAAAGTGAACGAACAAAAATGCAAGCACGTTACGTTCACCCTGAACAGGCAAAACTGCCCGCCGCTCATGTTAAACCATATTCTACTCCCGCAAGCAAACGAAGTGACATATCTAGGAGTACACCTCGACAGAAGACTCACATGGCGCCGGCACATTGAAGCCAAAAGAACACACCTAAAGCTAAAAGCCAGTAGCCTTCATTGGCTTATCAACGCTCGGTCTCCCCTTAGTCTTGAATATAAAGTCCTGCTGTATAACTCGGTACTAAAACCTATATGGATGTACGGCTCTCAGTTATGGGGGAATGCCAGCAATAGCAATATTGACATAGTCCAGCGAGCTCAGTCGAAGATATTGAGAACAATCACCGGGGCACAGTGGTACGTTCGCAACGAAACCATACATCGCGACTTAAACATTCTACCAGTCAAAGAAGTGATCGCAGAACAGAAGGAAAAGTACTTTACCAAGCTATCGTTGCACCCTAACCACCTGGCGAGAGGTCTTACAAGGTTGATCAACCAATCACGCCTTCGTCGCAATGACTTACCCACCCAGCGACCGACTTGAGGCACGTGCAACCAGAATGCAGTCTTATTATACTGTTAGTTAAATTTTAATGTTAAGATTCGTAAACTTATTGTTAGTCTCAAAATTAAGAGAAGATTCAATAAATAAAAGCAAAGTTAAATAAAAAAAAAAAAATGTTTTCGTACACGCGGTACAACTCTTCCTCTTCTTGGTACCCGGCCTGCTGCATCTTCGTCCTGAGCTCGATCAGGTATGTTTTGAAAAGCTCTCCTCTTCTCTGCACGTGAGTCCGAATCTCGTCCTCTAATCGTTCGAAATATCGAGGAGGTAAGAAGAACTCCAGGAATTCCCTCCGGAAAGGAAGATACTTTGGGAGGGGGCCGGATAGTAAAGGGATAGAGGGATTCGACTTGACTGACCGGCCGAGACGGGTGTCCACGTGCCAGTCTCCAAACTACTACGTAGACCAGACACTAGGTTAATAGATCCGGCGGGACGGGTGTCCACGCTCAAATCCCCAACTACGCAAGGGAGTGGGAAAACTACCGGAGAACGGATCCGGCGGGACGGGTATCCAAGCGCAAATCCAAAACTACGCAAGGGAGTGGGGAAACTACCCGAGAACGGATCCGGCGGGACGGGTATCCACGCGCAAATCCCAAACTACGCGAGGGAGTGGGGAAACTACCCGAGAACGGATCCGGCGGGACGGGTATCCACGCGCAAATCCCAAACTACGTAAGGGAATGGGGGAAACTACCGGAGAACGGATCCGGCGGGACGGGCGTCCACGAGCAAATCCCAAACTACGCAAGGGGAGGTTGGAGAACTACTGGATCGAATGGGCAGGGAATATACTTGTAGTCGCCATTGCTGTAGGCCTACTCTCCTCAGTTATAACAGCTCTAGGTTTAATGGGCTTGAACTGTCTCTTTTTTTCTACTTCTCTCGTAACTCTTTTGCGTGTGTAATTGTTTGTTTTGTAGTGTACTTAAGTATATATTATTTGCTTAATTTAGTGTATTTTTAGTTTTGTTATTTGTTTCTTCTTGTTTTTAGTGTGTGGGTCCGCGACTTTCCGTGTGGTGAAATGGAGTTCTGGAATTAATTTAAAAATAAGTACTTCATCTCTCAAATTGATAAAAAAATATTTTGCAACAATGGGTTTATTATAGTCTTTTAAAATTTTGTATTTTTTATTTTGTTTATTTATTTATTGCCTCCTGTTATTCTTATTTCCGTCTCCTACTAACATATTTAATACTTTACTTATTTATTTACTGTTTACTTGTTGTTCCTATTTTTTCGAATCTTTTTTTCTTCCTTCTAGTCAATGTTACCCGGCATGCTGAAGCTAGCTGCTCAGCTGTGCGATATAGCATCACAGCAAAATGCGGACTTTTTTTTTTTTTGACCATCCCCATGCTAAACGACTACATTGTTCGCTACAGTGTATCGCTTAATACATGTGAATACTCTCATAACAGATTTCTTGATATTTTATTTATTTTCCATTTTTTCATTTCATATTTTTCCATTTATTATTTGTTTCTATATTTTTATTCTTTATTAATATATATTTCCTTTCATCCACATGCTTAGCAGCCGCCTGCGCAATACAGTGCCGCCTAAAACATGTTAATGCGTTTTCATCGAGTCAGTACCTCCCTTCGCTAAGCGACGCCCTGCCTCCACAGTTCATCGCCTAATACAAGTGAAAGCATACCCGATACTAATTATTAAATCTTTACCCCATTCTCATGCTAAACGCCGCCCTGTGTGATACAGTGCGCCGCTCAATACAAAGGCATACTTTGTTTTTTGAATTATATCTCGCCCTCAAATTCCTAGTCCGCTGCATCGACATCCGACTGTGTCCGAACCGATCGAACCACTCACTTCTCTTCTGTATTGGTTTGAACTTGTCGACAACCGATGCCAACTCGACCCGAACTGTCACCGATCAACATCGAACTGTCTGCAACACCCTCTCTCTTC